AGTACAAACAATCCTCATCAGACGTGGATGATCGTTGGGTCTGCCGTGAGAATCGCCCAGGGCCTTGGCCTACATTTGCCAGAGACAGCATCAGAACTCTCAAATGAGCCCGAAAGGGATCTCGTGAAGAGGATATGGCATGGATGCATCCTGATGGATCGGTGAGTATCATTCAGACGCCAGATTTCATGCGCATGGCACCTCTGACTTGACGATCAGAATGATTGCCATCACGCATGGACGTCCGGCAATGATCTCAGATCAGCTAGCGCTGAGTGTGGTACTGCCTTCAATCCCAGATACCAATGTCACCAGCGTCGACGGGATACAGCTAAGTGCGGTTCAACTTCACAAACTTCGGTACCAGGCCTTCTTCCATAAGTCACTCGAACTCTACGAGGTTATCAATCACGCTGTCCTCGCATTCTACTCGTCAACATCACCCCTCAAGTCGCCTACCTACCCCAACGGCACAGGAAGCACGACTGCGCGCTCCCTAGATAGACCAGAGCTAGATCTCGGGAAAGCCTTGCAGCTCGATCAGCGCCTGACGAAATGGGAGAAGAGCTTGCCCAGCTTTTTGACCATGGCCGAGCCCGAAACTAATTTGGATGAGGTCTTCCGCAGGCAAGCGGTAATCCTGCGTATCAGGTAAGTGACGATACTTGCGACTCAAGAGTTGGCTTACAGTCAACCTGACCATCTCGTGGGCCATGACTGACAGATTGTAGGCTCCTGCATGCACGCATGCTCCTCCTCAGACCCATGCTCACTCGGTTCTGTCTGTCCCAGTGCCCTGAAACCCCCCAAGTCCACGATGATCTATCCTCTCGCGTCGTTCAACAATGCGCCATGGTCTGCGTGGAAGCCGCACAAAGCCTTATCTCATTTATCGTGCAATTTCAACAACACGACGGCACACTTGGCCTCCTGCCAGCTTGGTGGTATCGTGTCTTCTACATCTACACAGCCGCCACTGTTCTCATCGCAGCAAGACTCCGACCCGCTGTCTTCTCTTCGCTCGACATCTCCCGCTCGTGGAATCAGGCGATGGCTCTGCTCCACGACCACGAGAACCTAGGGCCTTCTCCACGGAGATGTGCCGCGGCACTTCAGATCCTCTCGACGAAGATGTTCCAGGATCAGCAACCTCAGTCAGCTGCTCTTCCAAACTCGGATACCAATGCAGCGGTGCCCAATATCACCAACGAGCAGCAGGAGACCTTTGATATGCCTTTCCCTTACTTGGCACAGGATACAGCATTCGACATGGACGCAATCACGTTTGACATCAATGACTTCTCTTGGCTTAACAGTATGCCTGGAAGTTTATAGCTGGCAGTGGCCAAGCCCCATCATGTACATTCACCTCCGAAATACCCAGTCTCCGCGCCTCTTGTGCTTATACTCATCCTCCCGATAGTTAACAGTTCAATCGTGATTAGTTTCTACTCAAACACCATCTTGTTCTTTACACTGCCAAGCTTACTTATTCTCACCTCTACCACGTCTCCATCATTCAAGTACTTCGGAGGCTTCATGCCCATGGCGACGCCCGACGGTGTTCCAGTCAACACCACCGTACCGGCCTCCAACGTCGTTCCCTGGCTGAGGAAGCTGACAATTTCCTCCACGCCGAAGAGCAAGTCACCCGTGCTCTCGTGCTGACGCTCCTCGCCGTTAACAAAGGTCTGCAGCAACAGATCGCTGGCGTTTCCGACCACTGCCGGAGAGACCAGGACGGGGCTGAAGGGTGCGAACTTGTCGAAACCCTTGCTGAAGCACCACTGGGGCACGCCGCCAGCCTTGGCGGGGTCTCTTTGCCAAGCTCTCGCTGACACATCGTTTGCAGTGATGTAGCCGGCGACATATTCCAACGCCTTTTCCTTGGGGATGTTCTTCCCTGACTTTCCAATCACGAAGGCCTAATATTGTCAGTGATTTCTATCGAGGAGTCGTTTCAGTCAGAGAAAAGGTACTTACGAGTTCACCCTCGTAATCGACGGTGCCATCCTGTGCAACCTTGGGGATCGGCACATCTTCATTCCACGCAGCGACTGATGTCGCAGGCTTAATGAAAAGTGAGGGGAACGGAGGCGGTGTCCTGCCACCCTCCTTGACTGCAATTCAAGTCAGATGTTTGCCATAGCTCTATTCTGGGAAGGGCTGTATTACTGTGCTTAACATAGTTGAGGCCAATGCACCGAATGATCGGGACGTCCTTTGGTGTCAGAAGCGGTCTCAGGGCCTTGACGTGAACCCGCTCGCCCTTGGCCAGGGATGAGACAGGGCTGGCACCATCGTAGATAGTAGCCCACAAGTCGCTTTTGTCAAGAAGCGACGTGATTTCTGGTTCGTCTTGCACCTCAGGCTCGCCAAAGTGCTCGACGTCGTTGTCGTCAACGAAGCGAATAAGACGGTTCCAAGACATTGTGTTTGATACTGTGCCTGAAAATAGAAATCTGCTCAAAACACTGAGTTTACTTCTGGGTCGTAACGAGCCGCATGAAGCTGTTCCTAGATTATCTCAGCTCCTTAAGTGTGTGCCTCCAAGACGTGCATCATCCAGCCCCTCAATTGGAGCAGCCTCGTATTGGCCAATCAGAGACGGTTCCGCGGTTGGATCGCGGGGAGCTGGGTAATGCATCGGAACTCGGAATCGCCTCAACTGCCAGATCGAGTCCCGTCCCGCGTGGCGTTTCCGCTGCATAGCTGCGGGCAAGGGGGGGTCAACAGTCCGGGGATAACGGGGAAACGGGCCTTGATAACCTCCTTCGCATGTCCCTCCAACATCCAACTTCATCTTCAGAAGCACCGCTTTCACCATAGAATACACGAATCGATCCAGACTACTGTCTACAAACTGATATCAATACCCAAACACAGCACAAGACACTCAGACCATCTCACGCCTCGCACATCTACAGATCACTCACAATGGACTCCCCTCACGAGGACGACAACAAGGCCAAGGCCATGAACGACTACTTGGAAGAATTGCCATCACAGCACATGGAGCCTTTGTGGTCCAAGATGAACGTGATGGTCCCACCTACACCAGCGCCCGTCGCCAAGCCTCATATATGGAAGTATGCCGATAGCCTCCCTCTTCTTCACAAGGCCGCAGAGATGGTTGGCGAGAAGCAAGCAGAGAGGAGAGTGCTGATGCTGGTCAACCCCAATATGGGTAAGCGTCATTGATTTACTTCTGACAACCCTGACCATACTCACAAGGTATTGCAGAATCCCCTTACACAACAGACACCATCTATGGTGGACTTCAGATCGTCAACCCTGGCGAGACTGCTCCTGCGCACAGGCACATCGCGTTCGCCCTCAGATTCATCATCGACGGCGAGGGCTTCACGGCTGTTGAAGGAAAAAAGATGCCCCTGAGACGCGGCGATGTTGTCGTTACGCCGACATGGCACTGGCATGATCATGGAAACGAGAGCGATGCCCCGGTTATCTGGCTCGATGCACTCAACCTGCCGCTCTTCAGATTCACCCCGGTGCACTTCGCAGAGCAATACCATGAGAGTCGTTACCCAAGCGTGTAAGTGCTTCTACAAATCATCAACACGGGAACAGGCCGCTGACGTTCCATAGGTTCACGGAAACGTGCGAGTGGAGACACCCATGGGACCAAGTTGAAGCTGAGCTCAAGGCCCAGGAAGGCCCCTACGCCATCCACCACTACACAAGTCACGGCAAGCCCCTGTCACCCATTCTCGGCGCTCAGGCTGAGCGTATTGACAGCAACCACACAACACAGGAGGTTCGCGAGCAGGCTTCGTTCCTCTACCACTGCTACGAGGGCCAAGGCCGAACCATTGTGGAACCGCCCACAGGGCCCCGTGTGGTCTTCAAGTGGACATCGCGAGATACGTTTGCCGTGCCTGCATGGTCTAAGATTCAGCATATCAACGAGGGTTCTGCGACGGCGTACCTCGTTGCCGTTAGTGACAGGCCATTGCTCAGCAGCATTGGGCTGATCAAGCCGCAATCATGAGGGTTTGAGGGGGAGGCAAGACCGTGGGAGTACCTTCAGCAACATCCTAACAAGATTGTACATGTTCACTCAGTATTAGCAGGCCTAATGGGCTGTATCTACTCAACATAGTAATGATGAAGACATTAAATGTAACATACTCGGCAACAATACTTGGCGAGAAAGGTGGTGTATTTCGCACGTTATCAAAACCCCATCATGTGAAAGAATATTGTACAGAATAGCATGAATCGGCAACTTTAAGATTTTTTATTAATCAAACAGCATGGCATGAATTAGCCATTGAGCTTTTCAAGTATTACCTTGGCGAAGAATTCATTGGGAAACCTCGTGAGATATTAACTGCAGACACACACAATTCTTTACTCAACACGGACGCTTTCTATTGAATTTAGTGACCCACAAAGAGCCGAAACCCACGAGGTGTCTACCCACAACGACACGGGCAGCTGCCGGACCTCGGCTGGATTACTCCTTTCGTCAGATATTCGACTTTTCGCGATCCATTGTGATATCGTATAAGTGTCACGCTCTTATTTCAATCTCAGAATTTTCGTGCACAGCAGACATGGGACCATTTGTTTATTTTGCTACCTTCAATGCTAATGTCATAACCGCGTCATGTTCTTCACAATCACCAGTTCTGAAATCAGCAAACTCCCACCATGGATTATTGCGACAGCAATGACAATCATTTCCTTCAGCTACATGTTATCTGTCAAACAATTGCGCTACCGTCGGAAGATGCATATTGAAGCCCCGTTTACCAAGGAAGGCCGTGAGTTGTCGAGTATGACCGTCAAAGAGTCCCACGATATAATCACCCAGCTCCAAGAGCTCGAGTTCCCATATGCCTTCTCTAAAGCTCGCAAATTGGCTCTTCTCAAGGTGGGTTACTCTCTCTCTCTCTTGAAAACCTTATACAGGTCAAAAGAGGACTAAGTCAAACTGATGAGAGATATCCAAGTAGGCTGGAAGTATTCCATCAATGTCCAAACTGTTCGCAGTGACAGGCCAGAACAATAAACGCAACGCTGGAAAACGATCAGTCGACACGGAAATTCTTCTGCGAGAAGTGCAGTCCAAGGCAAGAGACTCGGATCGATATGCGATGTCTGTGTCAAGGATGAACTATTTGTAAGTCACCAAGTCTTGAACCTGATTAACAGCTCGTGTCTATCCGTTGCTGAAGAGTGGGTTTTCTACAGACATGCTCGATACCGCCGCGCGAACAAGATCACCGACCCCGACCTACTTCACACTCTCGGCGATGGTCTTACCGAGATAATCAACGTAGTCAACAGAGACGAATGGCGCACGCTGACCGATGTCGAAGTATGTGCTCTAGGAATCTTCCACAAGAATCTAGCAGAAGACATGGGCATTCCTTTTGATCTTCTACCCTCGTGTAAAGAAGGCTGGAGGAACGGATTTCACTTTGCAATGGAGCTCAGAGACTGGACTGTTCAATACGAAGAGGAGGTCTGTAAACCAGTGCCGACAAATGATCAATACGTCAGAGTCTATGTCGACTCTGCCTTGTCTTCTGTACCAAGTTTCTTGAGGACAACACTGAGGAAGTCTCTCGGAGCTGACATGGACGACGTGGTCCGATCGAGCCTCAAGTAAGTCGATCCTAACACCCTTCAGACCGCTATAACTCTTTTGACTAATCCTCAAAAGTCTGGAATCTCCCGGAATCTTCCTCTCTACCTTCCTAGGGCTAGTTCGTAACTCGAGGAAACTCGGACTTCGATACCTTGCCCTTCCGCGCCCCGACTCATCCGCAGTCAAGCTCGTCAGCGACACCCCGAACCCCGAGACTAAGCTCTACAACTTTGGACGGAAAAGCCTCCAACCCTGGTACATGCGGCCAACAACGTGGTCGACCTGGGGTCCGGGTGCATGGCTGGTCAAAGCGGTGGGTGGAAAGGTTCCGGGCGAGCGGGGAAGCAGGTATTTCCCTCAGGGATATGACTTGATGACCATTGGGCCTGAGCCTCAGAGGGAGAAGGGCAGGGATGAGATGATTTCGGATATGGAGGTGATCAAGGCAAGGGGTGCAGTAACTTGTCCGTTTTCACAAGCGAAAGCGAATACGTTTGCTACTCCTCAAAGCTTGTGAATGAGCTCTTGGGTGGAATCAAGATGTACATGTGGATTTGGTTGGAGGGGACTTTCAAGCGACAAGAAACGGGGCTAATCTACATGACTTCATTCCACTCAACACCGCCAGTTTATGTGAACCAGACGTTACTGCATATGGTAGAATGGTCACTTAATGGTGAGATGAATGGAAAAAATCCTTGGCATTGGTCATTAAGATAGAGAATAATAAGTCTGATCGAAGACTGAATCTAGAAGTCTTTTGCATTCATGTTATTGTGCCCGGGTCTTCTCTTCCCTTCTTGTGGGTTTTTACATACATTGACGCTTCCACTTATCTATATGTGCTCGATATATCTTGCTCAGGGAAGAAGTAAGAATGAATACTGATGGAACTTTCTCCATCATATGCGGTGCGAAATTACTTAGAGCACTAAACGAAAAATGAGGCTATAGAATTTCGTCCATTGAATGACTCGATATAACTTGGAGCCACGTGAGGCAATAGTGAGCAGTTCGTAAGTCAAAACAAAGGTTCACGCGGCATCATGTCTGAACTCAAAAGCAGAAAATCTGCCGATATAGAGTTGCTAGTAGGGATAGAGCGACATTGTTTACTTTTAGGTAAACTGTCAGTGGCTTTAAGACAGCATGCGGCAAAATTGAATTAAACACCAGGCCCTAGAACGCAGTCCATGCTGTATTTCTGTGTCGAAAAGCGTTGAGTACTTCCACGATGTCAGCCAAATGTCTGGAATCGACATGATCTCCAGCGATGACCAAGCATTGATGTGATTTGGCGGATCAAAGTAAATGCCTATCTCACCAACGTAGTTTGATTCAAACTACCTTATCACCGGACATACAACTACTTATGCACCCCAAGAAAGTACCGAGAGCTTGAGCAATTTCGCATTTTGATCTTGGATACCAAATCTAGACACCCAAGCCCATTCGGCTTCCCGTCTTCCCCGCATAATTCGCAATCTTGAGTGGGAAAATCGAGCCACCCACGAGCTAATCTTTTTTAAAGGCCTCTACCACTCAGGAACCTGCCTGCATGCAGATGGCTTTCTTGATTAAGGTCAGACAGATTACCCTGCACAAGCCCTTTTGCGACGCCGCTTAAGTGGTGGCCATGCCCAAGCTCACACTCCTATTCGCTACACGTGGATCGGCCTCAAAACTCTGCTCAACATCTGTGACATTTCGTGGCATCCTGATCGGACCGTGATCGATCTTCAAGCACCAGTGTGATCCCATAGGGCGATCCTTTTGTTCGAAATATGCGGTGCTTGATACGGCGGCGTTTGGCTGCTCATGCCGTCTCCGTCGGCAGTACAGGATCTCTCCAATTCTCAACTTCCACTTCACTGCCCTAGTCCAGGTGGTTCTCGATGGAATCAACGGCGTCATTACCGTCGTTATGGCGGACAAGAGCGTCCAAATCGTCGTCACGGCCTCGGCGTTTCTACTCCTAGCATGGCTTGCCGTCAGTCTCCGTGTATACTGCCGGACGACGTTGGTACGATCAGTCGGTATCGACGACAAGATCATGGTCTTTCTTCTGGTGAGTGACCTTTACGCTGGTTGTAGTACCACGCAGCCAAATTCTAACAAAGTCGAGATCATTTTTACCGGATATCTGGTGTTGCAGATTTACGGAGGAACTCATGGGATCGGCCGCCATGATACCGAATCACTGCCGGAGAGAAGAGAGCCATGCTGCTGGTACATCATACCACATTACCACCCAATCTAGCCCCTTGCTAACGTAAATCCCAAGCTATGGTGGATTCTCGAGCTGCTCAACGTCGTCTCAACATGTCTCCTCAAGATCTCCGTTGGCTACTTCCTCCTCCGGGTTGCACTTGATCGGCCGCACATATGGATAATTCGAGCTCTCATGGTCGGTACAGTTTTCTTCGGAACGACATACCTCTTCATGGTAGCTTTCCAGTGCAGACCGGTGCCAACGTACTGGGAAGAAGGGCCTAGAACACCGGAGAAATGCTGGCCCTCGCGGGTTATCTACATCATGACGATTGCGGCGACGGTCATCAACACGAGCGCCGACTTTATTTTCGGTGCTTTACCGTGGTTCATCATTAGATCCATGAATCTTCCGATCGGGACGAAGATTGTGGTGGTTTGCATCCTGGGGCTAGCCGCCGTGTAAGTGTGAGAGGGACAGAAACTGCAGATAAATCGGCTGGACAACGGGGCAAAGCTAATAGTCTTGGTTGTAGAGGAAGTACTGCTACCATTGCCAGAGCGTTCTACATCCCGACGTTACTGGACGGCGAGGACTTTCTCTGTAAGCCCATCTTCTAGCTTCCACGCCACAAATTCTTCGAAGACACTAACGCAACTGCTCATCCTGTAGACGAAACCTCCAACTTTGCAATATGGAGCACAGTCGAGCCGGGTATAGGCATTGTGGCAGCCTCGATAGCAACATTGCGACCTTTGTATCAAATGGTGCTCACCAAGATGGGTCGCTCGTCGGTATACCGCCAACGAAGAGACAGATTGGAGAGACAACAGGCTTGCAGGAACGAGACGAGTCGGATGGTGCGACAGGCACACAACCTCGATCCAGAAGATGGGCCAGCCGACTCGGATATCACTTCGCCCCACGGCATCCTTGAGGTCAATCCCCCTTCTCACCATGTCAGTAAACAGACAGAGTCAACGGTCAAGACGAGTTCATCTGGAGTTGGATCTCCGCGATTGAGAATGAGCTTGTTTGATGTTGATGTTCCAACGTCACGGTTGAGACTCAGCGATGATTTCCGGCGGACGATGGATAGGTCTTCCGAGGAATGGTTATCGAGGGTCAAGGATTGACAAATGGCAGGGCTTAGTGATGTGTTTGAGGAAGCAAGACTCCGTTATTCTCTAGCATACGGTTTGGAGTAGCATCAGCATAGCATCTGAAGAGAGTGCCTGGGAAAGTCGCTCTTATGGACAAATGCAGCCATCAGAGCATAGCCATGTAAGAAGTGTTACACTCAAATAATAGTGAATGACGACCACCATTTCGGTAATAAAACCTCTGATTAAGCCCCAGTCCTGCGGCGTATCATACTGCGTAGATGGACACCCTCGGTTTCCGTCAAGACTCGTCTCGCATTGTTCCAATGGTAGCACCAGGTCACACATTTCACACCGCAAAGGTACGAAGCATTATCATTTGAAGATTGGTCATGTTTGACTATGTGTTGTAACTATTTAACAAGTACTCTTGAGATTCATACGAGTCCTTGTGTCCTTGGCCATGATCAAGTTATACATTGCTCTTCACCATGAACAAACCGAGAGACTTGAGACTCAAGGTCCAGCTGTCGGTATGTCTCCTCGACCAACAACCAGGAAATGACTCCCCTTTACCTTTCTAAACCTCAACTTGTGTTGCGTCCACCGCCTAGGAATCTCAGGCAAAACCCTCAACAGCCTCAGCCTCAGGAACGGAGCTTCTTCCCTACCACCTTCACCCTCAGCTTCAACCTCAGACCAAACTCCCTCCAGCCCATCGAAAAAGTCCATCTGGTCAACCCTGTAAAGCGCCTCCCCCTTCGCCGCGTCAAAGCTCCCCTCAAACCCCTCATCATCCAAGTCCCACAACCTCGCCCCCAACACCCTCACCTCACCAAGGAACCCCTTCACCAACCTAAACACGAGGCCCCACGGCCCCTTGACCCCATCCCTCAGCCCAAAATCGAACCTCGCGTAACGCCCGTCGACAATCACAGTCTGCACCCGTTCACGCGTCTCCCTCGGCATAGCCCACTCCATGTCAATATTGACATGCTCCCTCCTCTCTCTGCCACCATCCCTACACGGACCCGTGATAACGGGCCCGGCCAGCCTGTAGTCCTCCGCCCGCCTCCACGTGGTGGGGAGCATGGACCCATCCCACATAAGCTCCACAGCGTCCCGAGCGGGGCTGAACGGAAAGGTCCGCGGGTCCGGCGCGCCGAAAGCCGTGGCCGCCAGCGCCCTGGTTTCCCGGCTGACGGCGTATAAGGGTATGGCGGCCCAGGACCTGATTCGGCGGAGGGGGAAATGTGCTTGGGGCCCGCGCCACCACTCGAGGTCGATTTTAATCCAGCCTTTGATGGTGATGGGGTCGACGGCCGTGAGGAGGATGCTATCCCGAAGTTCTTTCGGCAGTTGGGGAAAAAGGGTGAATGTGGGTTTTGCTGGGTCCAGCTCTGGACGACGGACTGGAAGCTTATTCTCGTCCTCTTCGTCTGATGAGGAAGAATCCACCAAGATGCACACTCTCCCGCCGTCGCGAACGCGTCCTGGGTGTCTGGGGTGGCACCGCATGTGCTTCCGCGCCTGCAAGACCACATCCGACCACCTTTCCCGGTTAGACGCGTCGACAAGAATCTTGAGCTCGTCTTTGATCTCAGGTTCGTCTTCTTCCTCATCAGTGAACAGCAACTCTTCCTCCTCCTCCTCCTTTTGCCCACTTTCCGAAGCCAAACCTTCTCGAGAACCGCTAGATGCCGATGGGATGTAGTGCGCCATTGCGAAGGAGAACTCGAGTCAGTTTTTCGTGGCGGTGGCTTGCTCACAAAGAAGCTATATTCGTCCTTGCGATGTTTTGGCGCTGACGAGCGAGTCGACTTTCGGACGTGGCTCCGCGATACTTTCCTCCTTCGTTTTACTTGGCTCAACCGTTGATTTTTGTTCAGTAGTCTGGCTGCAGATCATGGAAACATGACGTTGAAGAATTTGCTGCCTTCTGCACCAGGCGAGGGATTCAATATGTTCGACTCATGTTCAAAGGATTCTGTGGGCCAGAACATGAAGGATCATGCTATTGAACCTTGACGTGGATGCCTATTTCCTATCCATTTCCAGCCCAGTTCCCCTTGATACCAATTGTCCATGATGAAATACAATGGTCTAGGTGAACCAAAATCTCACGATCTTGCACTCTCATAGAATGGGAATTTTGTCTACTCCCTGGCGCCGTTAACGATGGGGGTGAGATTCAGAAAAAAAGCCACTCATCAGCCACAAGCCATACCAAGTTTCATCTGCCCACGCTCGAGGCGTCCAAACAGCGAAAAACACCAACGAAGCGTCTTCGGGAAATGTTGGCGTTATTGCTTGTCTTCCCACACCAGAACGTGGCCTCCTCGCTTAAATCCAAGACACTGCGTCTGTCTTTACTGCGTAGCTCAGACCTAGCAAGGGGTTTTCCAACACGTTTCTTATCTTTTCTTCTCTTCTAGAGTGCGTGAGCGACAGTGCATTCAGGCGAGAGTCGCTGGAAGGGCCCGTTAAGGCTGCATGCAGGACGGGAGTCACTGCGTCTGTTAACCGCTGTTCTGGGACGAGGGTCCAGACTGCCGGAGCAAAAGAAATTCTCTTCGAGTTCTGTAACCCTTCTCCTGGGCCTTCACGAGCTGAAAACTCTCATGCAAGTTCACAGAGAGCCGCGGTCTTGGCATTCGGGGGAAAAACAGTAGACAGGGAACTTTGAGAAGAGCATGTTAGAATCAAACACCGGCGGCATCTGTTCTCCGACCCGGGGAAACGAAGTAAACCGCGGCGGCCGAGTCCACCACGCTTTCTAGAGTCAGCCGCGAAAGGACGAAGGACGAGCCGCGAACATGTGCTCGTTTCACACGCCCTCGACTTCCTCAAGCTTCCCCCCATCTTCCTCCATGTCCCATCCCATCCCGCATCCAAACCCCTTCGCAACCCCACATAGTTCGGCAAAACCGTTGCTGTTCCATCCGCTGTTTCCCTCAGACGGTAGAGCAAAAGGGAGCGCCGCGTGGCGAAGCGAACTCCACAGGGTACAAACACTTCAAGACGAGAGATCCTAGATCCTGATCAGCTGGTCTTCGATACAGGTACCCGTGTCGCAGGATCTCGAGCTTCACATAGATCGGGATGGTTTCTTGGCGTTGGACTGGTTGAAAATGCGCGGTTCGAGTGGGATACTCTGGCTGTTTCCGCGAGAGGAGGCAAGGGGAAGAGGTTCCACGTCCGAGAACATGAGTCTAGGGAAATACAGTTCTGCACTTGAGCTAGGTTAAAGTAATCGGGTAGAATCACATAATATCCCCCAACCAAGTGGGATGGATACCTTCACCCAGCACCAGCTCACTACTTACCAAACCCACAAACTTCTTCGAAAAGACACGAGGAGCGGTCCCCAAGTCTCAAAACACTCAGAACAACGTATGATAAAATTAGCGACCATTTCTTCTCCCTCGTCCACGTGTGTCTCTCCACTGCTCCAGAACCCATAATCTGGTCTGGTCTCTTCCTCGGAGAGTGCACGTATGTAATGCAAGGCCACAGGTAGTCTGGGGTAGCTTGACCAAAAGGTGAGACAACACCACCTTACCCGAAGAAAAAAAAAAAAAACAGAAAAAAAAACACCCCTCAATCCCAGGGCTGCATAGCGCATGGACAAGAATTGGAGAGTGCTTAGAAAAAAGGGCCTAGAGGAAATGAGCCTATCATACCGTCGGAGATTGAGGCTGAACGGCGCGCCCGGTGCTCTTTGGGGCTGGGCCCGCCGCCCTTTTTTTCTTCTTCACCCTTCAGCTGATGGTGGTCCATACTCCTCCCATGGCCCATGGTGAGGGAAATCTCTCAGACCTTTTGGGCCGTGATTCAGGCCCCCAATTCCCCCTCATTGAGCTCCCACGGCTCCCTACCTTACCCTTCCTGTGGGAGCGGGCATGCGCGTGGGAGTGTGAGTAAGCGTGAACATGGGCGTGGGTTAGACACAAGCGGGAGAGGAACACGAACATGTAAGACGGATGAGATGATGGATGACTTCTAAAAATTTCTTGTTGAGGATTTCTGAAAATCCAAAAAAAGTATGTACACTAAAGTTAAATGGTGCGGATGCTAGTCCGCTGGGTATCCCGTTGTGAATCGAATGCTGCCTTTTCCCCAGTCTCTCTGCCCCATGAATGATGTTGAAAATGTGTTCTCCAATCCAATGCGCCTCGACGGGCTGATATAGTCGGCCGGCTTCCGTCCCCCAGTGAAATGTCCTGTACCCCCCCCAATGCAGTCTCTGTTGACCTCTGCGTATCCAATGTCCAATGTAGAAAGTAGAAAGAGAAAAGAAAATGGCTCGTAAAAGTCGTCAAGCAGGCCGTAAAAATCTCTATGCGGCCACAATCTCGGGCCTCAAATGCTGGCTTACCGCCATGGAAGACGAAGAAACCGTCGGGAGCGCAGGGCGTCTCAGTCTCAGCTCGACAAAGTGCCCAACAACACTGCGCACCTGCTCCTCGAAACCCTGCAGCTTGAAGTCAAACACCTCCTCGGAAGCAGAGGCGTCAAAGTCAATGTTGACCGTGCCAACCGAGCCGCTGCTAACAATCAGCTTCCTCTCGACGGCCTCGGGAAAGCTCCTCTTGGCAATGAGCTTCGCGTCGTTCCAGCGGGACTTGGTGCTGAGGATGTAGCTCTTATTGCCCGGGACGGTGGGCAGAAGAGCCTGTACGTGCGCGCGGGCGACGTCGTCAACGTGAACTGTTGCGCCGGGGTAACTGCAGCCCATCTTCTTGCCGCGGAGAGTGGCAAGGATGACGGCGTTGGTGCCCTTCATCGCCTCGCTCGCCGTAGTAGCAATATCGTTGCGGCCGATGACAAAGGAAGGGTGCAAGTGAATGACCTCGAAGCGGGGCTGCTCTCTCGCAATCCACGCCTCGGCGCCCTTGAGAGCGGCCACCTTAGAGGCGGCGTAGGCGGCGAACTCGCTCTCATACGGCTCAGGCTTGAAGCCGGTTCTCTCCGTGGGCTGAACAGCCTCCTTGCGCTCGCGGCCCTCGAGGTGGTCCACCGAAGTGAGGGCAACGACTGAGCTGGTGATGACGACGCGGCGAACGGTACCCGCGCGCTTGGCGGCCTCGAGCATACCGAGAGTACCGCGAACGGCGGGCTGGATGAAGTACTCCTGGTGCAAATCGCGGGGTACTGAGTCGGCTGTCGCAAGAGGTGAAGCAACATGAATGACTGCGGAGACGCCGCGGATAGCATCGTCGTAAGCACCATCGGTGGTGATGTCTGGTACGATTGTGAAGTTGAGTCTCGCGCGGGGTAGGTTTAGTGCGCGAATCTGAGGCCGGGAGCGGATGAAGGCAGCCTTTGCCTCTGAGCGGACAGCGCAGCGGACGGTGTGGCCTGCCTTTAGGGCGTGAGTGAGAACGGCGAAGCCGACGTGGCCAGTGACGCCTGTGATGAGCAGAAGCTCGTCTGGGAGGATACACAGCATGGTTGCTGAGATCTCGGTGGTAGTCGTATATAAGTGATGAGGTAGTATGGTGTAAGTGTCGATGAAACCGGACGTCCTAAGAGTGCAAGTGGGATTGTCGTCCAGAACGGGCAGGACTGTGTAAGAAGTAGTCGGTTGTCCGTAGAATTCGTTTGATCAATGATGGCGAACCTCTCTCAGTCTGGAAAGTGGTGCGAATGGGGCGAGGCTCATATATCTACTCTGGGAAGTCTGGCGAGATGGGTGTTCCCACTACTTGCCTCCCCTCTCCCTGCGTTGCTTGAACCTTCTTGGGTCCCTTGTGGCCACTTCGGAGGCTCAGATAGACGAACGCCACGTGCACAGGGGTGTGAGACATTGAGGGTCCCTGGTGTTGATCTCTGAATACACACCTCGGCCACCCCCCCTTCCAAGCCTCGAGGAAACCCTTTTCTCCCAAGACGGGTACGGGTATCATCCATAACAACAATCCCGCGACCGAATGGAGGTGGTGGCTTCTCCGTGCTTGCGCGGTGCTAGCGTCAGCAGACGTGTGTGAGTCCATGCATCAGCGCCTCCTCCCCAATCGTCCTCTCTGTGCCTGTGAGAGTCGATGAGGTGGCACAGCACCCGCTGGCAGGCTGCTAGGTAACCTGCTTTCGCTTGCGCATGTAGGGCTGGCATGGCTCCCCCACTAAATGAACTAAAGGTCACGCAGCTTCACGTAGCAAGTTAATGGTCGGTCAGCTAGCTGAACCTCGATACCCGACTGGTCGAAGGAAGGGTGTGTGTCTTGTGGCGCCCATCGTGCCGCACTGACGGAACCGCCCAGCATGATCCCTCTACAATCAGCATACAACCTCTGCGGGGCGAGGACAGCCAAGAAAACCTGATTGGGGGTGATTAACGAACCTAACGGTCATGAAGAAGTGAAAATCAGGGGCAAATGAGCAAGCATAGCCTTGTGCCAAGCATCTTTGCATCGTCACCACCTAACCTAAGGAGGCTGAGGGTGGGTGAACGTCCTCACAAAGTCTTCACTCGCAGACACGGCGAGTTAGCGATTTCATGCGCATCAATGATGAACTCAATGGTTCGCTCGTATGCGTATGTAGCCAGCCCCCAAACCCAATACAGAGACTCACTCTGCCTAAGATTGCCTGCAGCAATAGGGAGAAGACTCAGAAGAGGGGGGGGGGGGGGGGCTGCACCCTACGAGAAGTGCCGCATGGTCTGGGCTACTCATTCTAGACTGGTATCACATTAGATCAAGCTAAAGCATCAGTAACCA